ACTGTTTTTGTATTAGTTGCAATCCAGACTGAGGTATTGCCTGCTTGTAAAACAAAACATATGAATTATAAGAACTTTCCAATTAACCCTTTCATGGAAAGCAATTAATTTGTAAATTAATTTGTAAATAAATATCCCTTGTCTTGGATTTATTAGGTATAAGTTTACTTCAAATAAAATATGATTTTGGCAACTTCAGCAGAACTCTAGAAAATGAGAAGCAGGTAAAAATGGAGAGCCCCATCAGTATGGGCTTTTTACACTCAAGAGATGTCATGAGAAAGTAGTTAAATATACTGTTGTTTTGTACACCTGCACTTCTTCTAGTTGACAGACGGAAAAATAGTTAAGTGAAAGGAAGAATAAATTTAGATTAAACTAAACATCTAAAGTGCAAGTGCACTTTGCTACTCAGGCTATAGGGCTGTTTATAGCACACAAGAGGAAAATTGAAAGGTTTTGACTCTTTCCTTTGCAGTGTGCTGCTCTTGGAGCAAAATGGTGCTGCTCTGTCCTGGGCCTCCAGGAAAGCAGCGATGTTCAATACATTTTGTAATTGAAATTGGATTGCAAGGTAACTTTATCATTAGTGGTTAAAGATAACTGGAATCCAGATGGAAACTGGTTATGGGTTATCTATTATTAAATAAAATGAAAAGAAAGATGTCTCTAAAGCTGTGAAGGTTAAAAAACATGGGAGCTTTTTATTTTCTTTGACACAGAAATAGACTTTGAACATTGTAGGCTGGCTAAAGAGTGAGTTCAAAGGGAGAGAGCATGAAGGGAAAGCTGGGAAGAATACCACGTGGCTGACAACCTGCCAGCCAGCACATAGAATACCCTGTGCTGCAGAGCACAGCATGTGTTAACCTTCCCTTTTGGAAAAAAAAAAAATCCCTTCATTTGCTTATATCAACATTTTACTTATAAATCTTAATGATGTCACCTCTGAGTCTTTTGATGGAGAGAGAAAAAGACAAGCCTCCCTCATCAATCTGTTCTCCAAGTACAGTTGTTGAGGCTTCCTGCCCCTCCTGAGCCCCTTGTGACAACCTCAGCTCCACACAGGGAAATGTTTGGTGCAGCAATATGCTAGCAGTTTGTTTTCTTTTGATGTTACAACACTAATCTCATCTGTATCTAATTGTTAAAATATTAAGTCTTCAAAGATTTCCTTTGTAAACAAAAGATTGTCATAACAATTTAAGCAGGATCAGATGTGTAAATTTAGAGTGAACCCTCAATGAATACTACGGAAGTTTTTTTGCAGAAGGATACAATATACTTAAAATTCAAACCTGCTTGGTGGACTGTATAAAATAATCTAAAATACATTATTTTAATGAGATTTTAAAGCCAGATTTACAAAATTAAATTTATTTTAATAAACAATAAACTTTTAATCTCTTATCTGTGTGCATTAGCTTTAATCTTTGATGTGCTAAATATTCCTTTTTATTCCTTTTGAATACCTTATACTCTAGTATGTTTCATTCTCTAGAATAGAATGTAAAATGGCTGCTAACTCCACCAGCTGCTGTGAATGTAAATTCATAAAAGGAAAAATTGCTTTACTGCACTTTAAATACATGGATACTGTTGGAAATATTTGCATTGCCCTGGGAAGTAAAATAACTATTAAAATAGGTGTTTGTCATTCCTCAAAATGTTTTAGCTAGAAAAAAATCTTACTGATATAAGCTAGTGTCTTTTATGTTTAAATACCCTACAGTTTTTGATCAGACACTAGGTATATTGATCTAGAAGTGAAATTAGAGTATTTCAAATTGATAGGATTTCACCAGTTTCTGGAACAGAAACTACAAAGTCAGAAAACCCTAAGTTATTTATTGCATATCTTCTGAGACTTTATCAGTGCACAGTTTCATACTGATAGCCAGGACATAAAAGCTGATATTTTTTTTAATTCAAACTGGAAATGCACACACAATTTTAATAGCATTGTGAACTTTAGGAACAAGATATGAAAAATAAAGGTACTTCATCTTTTGAAATCAAGTCTAGATTTTTCTCTAAGATATTTATTTACTGATTTAAATACTAAAGTAGACAAATTTAATAAGTGGTCTGCGTCTGGAGTGGCTGGAGGACATGTACTGCTTTCTGAGAAACCAGAGATCAGCAAAGGTGTATAATCTTTGTGATTTATGAGCCACCGTCTAGAAGCCCTTATCTCTGTCAACCAGCAGAGTGCTAGACATCTAGCTTTTGGGTTATATTAAGATGAAACATAAGTTCTGAAAAATTAAGAAAAAAAACACTAATTTTTTATCTTAATTTTAAATAAAATAAATTGTAGTAGTGCACTGCAGTGAAGTGACAGCCTGTCACCCAGGGATAGTTCGTAGTGGAAGGGGTTATCTTTCAAAGATTTTACAATGAGTTTCCTAAAATGGAGTCTTTCTCTATACACAAAAGTTATTGAAAGAAATTGACATGTTTTTTTAAGGCTGAGGAATTATTATTTTTCCTTTTTGAGTTAAAATCATTCCCCTTCATGAAAAGAGTTGACTTAGTGTGCCACTTATAACCCAAATGTTCTGATGCATAGTAAATAACTGAAATGGCTCTATTTTACAAATATTTTTCCTTTGTTCAGTATAGAAATAAAATCTATGAACCCTTCTTTAGTACATCTTTCTGTTGAATCATTTAAATTAATGAAACCAGCCATACTCTTGAGAAATGGATTAATATCAAGTGTATAAACTAAATGCAAAATCACATAGGAAAAATAATTTTGCCTATTAAAAACAATAGGTGTTGACAACAATAATTTAGAGCCTTCCAGATAAATTTTGAAACTTAATATCCTAACAAGATTTTTAATATCTTTCCCTCAACATGTTATTTTTAATAAAATTATCCACATATTTTCTATTGAAATGCATCTGTTGGATTGAAGATGACCAGGCTTTTGTGTGTGTGTGTGATTCCAGCAAGCCAGTGAATTGTAGAGTAGTGGTAAGTGAGCCCCAATAACTCTGAATGAATTTCTGCAGCTTTCCATGTGTAAGGCTGTAAGAACAGCCTACATCACAGAAAAATTGATGATAGTTTATTAATTTTGGATTGCTGCCTTGGTGATGTTTTGTCAAATTCTTGGACTTACTGAAGCTATTTGGTCCAAGTCAGCACAAAGGCAGTAAATACTGAAGATAGCTGGTCAGCAATGTCCCATGGACCACAGTCTGTAGTGGGTTTGACTAATGCTTATTGAGGTATCCATAACTGTTTCCTTGATAAGTGCTCCTTTCCTTTAACTAGCCATGAATCTGCTACAAGGGAGAACTGAATAACGTGATATTTGCTGTCTTAAAGCTGCAAAAAATTCTCCTACTTCTGCTACCAGTTTCTGAAAAACCACCTTCTTGTATTTGATTAACAGCTTTGTGAGTTTTGTTCTTGGTATTTGCAAGGAGAAGCTGGCATAAAAGCCTGAGATAAATCCTAAGAAGACTAATCCAAATTAAGTATCTCACATCTGGTTTTATAGGAGTTTTATTTGAAAACTGAGATGGGTTATCAAGAAATTAGTACCATCTGAAAAGAAAAAATAGGAAAATTTATGCAAAATAAATAAGAATGTTTTGATTAAAAGAAATGAGAATTGTAAGTAAGCTAGTAATTTCAGGATGGCTTGCACTATGGAGGTAGCTATACATAAAAATAGATCTTCAGAGGACAGTGTTAAATCTTTACATGTTTACTATTCATCTTTTAGGCAAACAGAAATGTTTCTGAGTGAACTTTAAACAACTGAATCTTTCCCAGTTAATTGTTTTCTATTTCACCTTTAAATGTTTTTCCAAATATTGTTTGCAGAAGCATTCCATAATGTAGAAATTATGCCAAATGTGTTGTCAGGTCTTTCTGAATGGCACATGATTAGAATCAAGAGCTGAATGCTTAAGCTGCAGATGTAGAAAATTAAATTCTCTTTTCATTTGACCCTCGAGAATTTACTCAAGAGAAATTTGTGGATTAATTTACAAGTAATAGAAAGCCATATCTATTAAAGGAAACTCAGTTAGACATGAATGTTACTCTCCTTCCCTGTCTTTTCTATTTCTGATAGAAAAATAAACCCTATTATGTTGAACAGCTATGACTTTAGAAGATATGGAATGGTCTGATGAGAATATTGTGAGTCTCTAAAGTATTCAAGCAGCCTAACTTTTGCTATACATATTTTACTACTCAGTCCCAGTGAAAAAGATGAAACAGCTCCTACACTTCCTCTCCAGGGCATACGCTACATGCAATACTCTATTTGCCATTCAGAGCTTTCCAAAAAGGATTTTATAGCCCACTCTAACTACTCTTTACACATCACCAAAATGATTTAGTGCTTTCCTTAGCAGCTCTTCAGGATGAGTTTATGTTAAAAGGGCAGTCAGAAAGTGACCTGCTGGCTGGGCTAAACCAGGAGCAGGTAGCTTCCAGAGACAGCAGAGAAGGGCCTTCATCATGAAGAGGCTGCAAACTGTGTTACTAATTATGTATCAAAGCAGAATTACTATACATATCCTAACACCTCAAGGTCCTCTAAAGAGACTGCTGAAACTGTGCATAAAAGATATCAAAAGGGTACTGAGGAGACTGCTGTTCTCAACCATGTTCATAGCGTGACAGGCACAGTGTCTGTTCCTGTGCGGCTGCCCTTCTGCTCCGGTTAGTGTGCCAGCAACATTAGGCCCTGCAATATCGTCATTCAGCTCAACTGGGCTATTATTATATAGGGTGTTGACTAAAAAAAAAAAAAAGTAAGTATGTATTTTGTGTTTGGCTCTAGTATGGATGCTTTGACTTCTTTTAAAGCAACATGATTGGCCTTTTGTTGCAGAGGATGTTGGCCGGGTGCAGGGAGAGTCCTAAGCATCCCTGCAATGCTCCTGGCAGTTCAGGGGGCCTTTGAGCTCAGCAGAGATGGTGTGGTTCGCTGCACTTCATGCCCCAGCACTTGCCAGTTGTTACATGTAGCCAAATGATTGCAGAAGAACCCTTTGTGATGCTCTCAATTGCAAAAAACATTTCATTAATTGCCAGTTATCCCCAGATTGTGGAAATCCAGACATGGCCTGGAGGCATCAACATATTCTATGTGCAGTTGGGATGGAACAGGGAGTTTAACCTGCAGTAGCTGAGTATAAAACTCAAAGACAAGTACATGAGGAGAACTGTATTAAATCTAGATAAATCACTGCTTATTGTGTCAGGAATGGAAAGACATTTATCACAATAGCACTTGCAAGTAATATCCTCTAAAAAAAAAGTAAAAAATTTACTGATAGTTTTTCTTTGTGCTACAGTTTCAAAGTTCTTTGATACATATTTAGCTGCCAGTTTGTAATAAAGGCTCCAGTCCCATCAGGACTTCATGCAAGCCCTAGGAATCAGCTGGCTTCTTATTCTAATCAGAGCAGGAGCTCATGAAGCTAATATTAGAGGCTCTCTAAAAATGTGTGGCAGCAACAATTTTTCAGAAAAAATACATAATTGAAGGTGTGGTGTGTAATAAGTTGCAGTCTTTATACATTAATTCACTTCAATGCTTTAATTTTCCATTGATTAAACAAGGGATAGGCTTTTTTGGTTTCCCAGTATATTTTCATTTTTGTGTTGTTAAAGGACTTATTTTTGACAGAGAAAAAAATAATTTTTTGGACAAGAACATATAGAATCATTCATGCATTTCCTGAAAGCTAGTATTATGTTGATGTTTCTCTATGCAGCTCTTCCATCTGCTGTTTTTCTGTAAATTCCAAGAGAATCTTAGAAAAGTTTTCTAAAAAAAAAAAAATTGTCACTGGTAAAGCAAGGATTTCTTAAGAACAAACTTTTGGCAGAGTTTTTTTTCTAGTTGGAGATGGATTTTTTAAACATAATAAGCTACCTCAGTTATTTCTGAATTACTGCTAATTTAAAGTTAGACCCCCCTTCTTTAATGGGTTTCTCTTCCTAGTGCTAGTTTTTTCTTCTGGTAGTTTTATAAAACCTTCTGTATTCCCATTTGGGTAGCATTACTTCACAATGCTTCTTCTCTGGTGTTATCTCTTGCCTGCAAGACTTGTCTGAGGCCATGTTACTAATTGGTTTCCTTCCCAGTTTTCTTTTACAAGAAAGGAATTTTTTAATCTTTGGACTTTAAACTCACTTTGGTAATTTCTTTTTCCTTGCATTTTTCCTTTTGAAGCAGTATTGAATTCCATTACACCTCCTGGGGTGTCTTTTAAGTTTAACTGGCTGTCCTGTATTCCAGTAGTTGTGTTCTTTGGTTTTTTTTCACATTTCCAGCTAGTTTCATTCTTATACTCAACGTCAGTTGGTTTGGTTTGCTTGTTTGTTTGACCAAAGAAAAATATACCAAACTCTTTCCTCTAGTTGCACCTTTCTAGGATAGACTATAATTCAAAATAGACTCTGATTCTCCATTTTAATAGGTATTTGATTCTATTAGTAACTCAGCAATTAGCTATAGGCCTTTCCATAGTGATCCTCTCTTTTAATTTTATTGCCACAGTGGTTTTGAGGGTGAGATTTTAGGTTCCATTTTGAAATTTTACTATTTTTTCTGTCCCTTTCTGTCTCTGCAGTAAATATGAGAACCTGCTTTTGCTGTTCAGTTACATTTATGAAGATGATTACCACTTGTTTTCCAGATTGGTTTTGTTGTCTTACCTTTTTTTCCAGTGTACCAGTTTTCAGTAGCTCTGACCTCTTCCATCTTATCTTTCAGTCTTTTCTAATATCAGAGTAAACTTAAGTGATAAACACTGGCTGGATTTAGGGAGAGAGGAACAGTAGTCAGGAATGAGAAAGAGCTTCAAAAGGCTGTGTCAGTATTCAGTTTGGAAAAAAGTCTTTGACATACTGCTGCTGATATGGAACATTCAAAGAATTATTTCAGCTCTTGCCAAGCGGGTGGTAACAAACATGGCAGCCAAGAAGTCTGGAGAGTGAGATGAGGACAAAGTTTCCTAAGATGGCAGCAACTTAATTCATTGCAACAGACTTTAAATCTTTTTGCTGTCTGCAGCTATATTTTTATTTCATCAGTCACTTGCTAGCCTGCTCTCCAACTTGAATATTACATCTATTAATGTAGGAAGTGGGGAAAGTATTTCATTGTAACGGGGAGCTTTTAAGCTAGGATTTTTTTCGCCCTATATAGTGAAGCCGTTTATGTCCACCTTCCATCTTTGTTAGTGACTCACCTCTGAAGCTTAGTAGTCTAACTGGAGTAATGAATAGGCTAAAAGAGATATGCCATATTGCTGCTATGTCTTCCTCAAGATTTCTAGCTGATAAAGGGTTTTTTTAATTTGTTCTGGTTTGAGCTTGGGGCTGGTATTTTTGTGTGTGTGCACAGACAAGCAATGGCCCTGCTTTTTTGTCTTTTTTGGCTTTAACTGAAGATGACATTTTTGGGAGATGAGAGAGATTCAGGATGCTGGGGTGAGATCCTGGGTGATTGGCTGATGTTTGGCAATGATTTACTAAAGCAGCTTGACTTACCTCCCTGACTGTGATCTTGGTACATTTACTGCTATAAACACAGATAGAGGTCCCATTACCTTCTCAGCAAAAGTTTTTTGTGTCATAGACTTAGTCATTCAAGTTCTAAGCCTAAGAGTTATTTAATTTTTAATATGAAACATTGATAAGTTCCAGCTAATTTTTGTGGAAGCAATCAGCCATTTTGTATGCATATTGCCATTTGTATAATTTAAATGCAAAGTCTGCTTTGCTTTCTCAGACAGAATAGCATATGTTTTATAGATTTTTTGGAAAAGGATGAGTATGCTCTGGGTTTCAGCCAGACTCTTTGTATTATGTGCAGGTGCTTTGGGACTTTAATAATTAGAAGATCTAATAAAAGAATCAGAGGATAAGCCAGGAAAACTGCTGCAACATGAGTTCTCTTTGCCCTTACAGAAACCAATCTTTTCTGTTTCACCTAACACAAAATTGAAAACTTACAGGTGTATTTCAGCCCAAACTTACAGCAAACACATAACAGAATTCATTAAATCATTATTAAGTAGCCTCTATTTCAAGCTGCCTGGATTTAATTGCTTTACCTTGAAAAATAAACACCAAAATCCTAAACCAAATAGTGAGCTATAATTGAACAGGCAAACAGGGTAAAGATCTGAGGTTCCTGGGTTAATACTATGTCACTTACTGTTTTTAAATTGTCATAGAACAGTAAATCTACACAGACTGTTTCTTTTTCCCTAGACTGACTGAAGAAATGGGTATGCTTTTTGTTGTAGGCAACTTTTCAGAAGGCAAAACTGTGACTTTTTCCTTTACCATGTCCACCCCTAAGTCACACAAGATTTGAGCAAACTCAAAGTGTTGCTTTTCTGTTCTGCAGAAAACCCATCACTGCAAATCCCCAATCAGCACATTATATTTATATCAGCATTCCTATGCCTACCTGTGTTCTGCCTGCAGGTGCTTGTCCAAGTGGTGTGAGCATGTGCTTGTGGTACACACCCATGAGTCAGTGTCTCTCTGCTGTGTACGGTGAGGGATCAGGCTCTCAGTGGAGGGAGAATTGGTGCTCAGAAGCTGTGCTGCCTCCTCATGCTGTCACCATCTGTGCTGGCTCTTTGCCTAAAGCTGGTTGACTTTGAGTATCACCCTGTAAACAGATAGGTGTTACAAACTAAGAGGTTGTGTCCTTAAGTGGTTAGCAATGACACAGGAGGATAAGTTTTTCGCTCTTGAAGGTTAAAGTATAAGGCTTTTCTTAGGAAGGTAACAAATAAATAGTGACACTATGAGCCAAGGAGAGAAAAAGGCAGTGATAGTGTCCTCCTAGTGATATAGATATGTTCTCCAGGTGATTAAAGATAGAGTAAAATTATTCATCAAAGAATTTCGCAAAGATGCATTAGGTTCCAGAAGCTATTTTGGCTCTTCTGGTCTGATGAACTAGATAATTAAAAATTTACTCTGACAATGTCATTCGGATCTGCTAATTATTTACCAATTCCAGCTTGACAGCATAGTGCTGTATATTAGACCTAATTTACATTATCTCTTGCTGTATATTTCAGAAGTAGAAATTAGCAAGCAGCATATGCTGATATTTTCCTTTTGTTACAATATCAAAGGAAGGAGATATTCTATTATTACTCTGCCATCACCAGTTTTGGGAAGTATACGGTATTTAATATTTTTACCTACATGTACAAACATTCCCTGATACTCTGAACATCCCAGTGCTGAGTATTTTTCTTATTTTGAAATCACGGAAACAGAAAAAAAAGAGCTGATCTTTTCTTTAAAATTTAAATTCTAAGTTTTGCAGACTAGCTATCAACCTTTTTAATCCTCTAGAGTTAAGTTTTTGAAAGTCATATATACCAAATTACTCCTCAAAAGTATCCATACATTGCCTGTGCTTTTTTTCTGCACTTTAAGAATATATTATTTTTATTAACTGTGATAGATCTGCCCTTTACACCCTTACTTCTCATTTTATTGATTATGCAAGCAACTTCCGTCTGGCTTCTTCATCTGCTTTTTTGCTCAGTTTTTGCATGTAGTCACCACTGATGCTTCTATGCTTATGGTGGCTGTATTCCCATCCTCTCATGTACTACACACTATGGAAATTACAAATATTCTGGGGCAAAGATTTTAGTTGCATGTTGCTTCCGTGTGCAGGGAACATATTCAACTAAAATATTTGAGTGTTATTTCTAGAGGATACCATAATACATCTCACAGTAATCATTAGTAAAGATCATCTGACACTACTCCTACAAAGTTAGCTTTACAGCCATTATTCAAATTCAGTCCAAAACATCACCTCAATGATTCAGTCATGCTGGGTACTGTTTCTTTTCAGCAGAATTCTTTCTTAAAATGGCATGCCTAAAATAGATGGAATAATTCCTGAAAAGATAAATTGAGGGTATTTTGTACTGAGATAGTGGGGCTGTGAAATTAGAGATTTGGATTGGAAAGCCCCTTTGTTTCACCGTGTGGTCTAATTCAGCACTGTTGCTAGATAATTGTATTTGGCTGTTCTCACTTGAATGTTCTGTTTCCCATAGACAAGACTTTGTGTTATGCCCAGAGCATCTTGTTAAATTGACTCTTCTCACTGGGCTGAGTTTTTATATAGGTTTTCTCAAATGCAGTGACATAAAATACTAAAATAAAAATTAGCAATAAATACTAGAAGGCAAGAAATTGTAAGGAATATCTGTGAGAGTGCTGTCAGAAAAGAAGTCAGAGCATAAAAGGCAAAAAAGCAAAGCAAAATAGTATTAGAGAGTCAACAATGTAGTGATTACAATGGAATAAAAAAAGTAATAGATTTCATAATCTTACTAACAGTGGATTAGAAAAGAGGCTTTTATCAGATAGTAATGTTTATGTCCATTTTGATAAAGTATTTATTGATTTTCTGCACAGCAGCGGTTGATTATAAAGGTACAATTAGCACTTGGTAAAAATGACAGAGAAATGTTCCTTGATAACTTCAAATCTGATGTATCTGGACAAAAAGAATCCTAACATTTTGAAAGGAAAAGCAGGGAAATACTTTAAAATTATGCTCAGTGAATTCTCAAAGGCAGAAAGTTGGTATTAGTTAATTTGAGAAAATAAATGCAGAACCACACAATAGGAATATGACCCACAGGGAATCAAGAAGTAATTGTTTAGTAATCCTGATGCTTTATGGAATAAATTCAAGTGTATATTATTTACATAATCCTCACATGTGAAGAAGGTCTGCTATATTTGACAGCCACAATGCGATGAAAGAGAAAATGCCAAACATGTTTCTGTTTTCTGTATTTGTTTTAGATTTGGGGAAAAAAGCTATTTTATGAAGCTTTCAATACCATGTCTCACTACTGATGGTTGATTTCTGCTATAAAATAATGGAGGCCTCCCAGACTTGATACATGAGAACTCATTATCTAATCAAGGAGAGGAATCTCCTGACTCACTTGGTGGTGTTAGATATAACTGTGTGCACACTGTAGGTGGTCTGCCTATTTAATGCTAACTCTCAGAGCAGGTTGTAATAAACAATTTGCTAGACAAAAAAAAACAGGAGAATTATGGTATTTCACAGTGATTGTTTTCACTGGAGACATTTTTTATATTCATTGCTCTGTTAATATATCACTAAGTTAATGGAAGTATTAATAAAACAATGAAAAAAAATCTCTATATAGCAGGAAAATGGTTAAAGAAGTTCTCATCCATCAAATACCTGAATATCAAATTAAATTAGAGCAATTCACAGTAAACTGATTAGAAAACAGTGAGAATGAAGTTAGGTAAAATAATTAAACCTAGATCACAATAAAAGAAATTTTCCAGAAGGCTGTTTCCAGATTCCATTTTTCTGCAGGCAATTTCTTGAAAATAACTGCAGCTACTTCTTTAAAATCTTTTAATCAATATTTTTTACAGCAGTTGAGATTAGGTTGTTCATTGTAGTGACAATATGTCGATGAACTCATTTGGCTTTAATGATTTGATTCTGGCAGCAGCTACTAATTCTGCCTACCACGATATGTAAGGTTTTTGTACAAAGGTTAAAGATAGAAGAGGCTCCTGGGATGGCTGACAGGGTGGATTAGTGCTGCAGAGCCCTGCAGGAAAAGGTCACCACTGCTGTACACAAAGGAGTGTTGTCACTGGGGGAGGTGAAGTCACAAGTAGCCTACAAAGAGAGCTTTGGGTTTGGGTAAATTAGTCATTGAGAGGAATAGGTAGGATTTGGTTGTTCTCTCCTGCTTATCTTTGCTTTTGCCTATCATCACTGCTTCTAATCTTCACTGCCAGGCAGCCATCATGTCAATGGGACTGTTAGCTGTTCTGCCTTTTCTCTCCTCCCAATATTATTTGTGTCATTTCCAAGTAGAACATACTGAGCCAGCACAGCACTGCTGGGTGAGCAAGGGAAAATAAAAGACCTTTTTCTACTAGCAGAGGTTTTTAAACTATGGAAAGTTCCTCTTGGGTTATATTTATTTTTGAAGTTGCATACAGTATTCTGCTCTCATCTATGTCTCACTTAGAATTCATGCTCAATTCTGATAATGTCTGTGTCCCACTTTCAGTAAGGGAGTAACTGAAGATCTCATTACTTAGGACTTTACATGATTAGTTGTTGGGGTGTAAGTTCTGGACAGATTCATAGGACTGTGTAGCATATCATGGCCTTAGGAGACAATTTCTCAGTTGCACAAGGTTAATCTTGTCTATGAAATACCGCTTGCTAGGAAAATGATGGCTCAGCTGTTCACCCTGAAATGTCACACCATTTCAAAGGCTTATCTTTCACAGTGTTGCATGTTGTGAACTCACTAGGCTGAACATTGAAACCTACATACCCAGTAAGAATATTATATATAAATGGCAGTGCATGAGAAAGTGGCAGTTTGCAAAATGATGCCTGAATTATAAGAAATAAGAAATGATTGCCAGCTTTTGAGTTGCCTTTAATGGTACCAAGCTGCAGTGTGATGAAGGCTGAATTTGGTGAACTGATGGCCTTTCTCCATCTTAGATGTGGAGAATTTTTTTCTTACACTAGCTCCATGATATGCTCTCTTCAGTCATTCAGAATGTTCAGGTTTTGGGAGTTTTTACTGACCCTGTATACTCCAGTTATACTGCAGTATGTTGCAATGTAGAGGTTAACATTCTTATTTTTAGGGAAGCAATTTCAAATCACAGTAGATGTTCAGTGTGGGGAGTAACCTGTTAAAAGAGGTGTCACAAACTTCCACTGATTTTAATGCAATTACAGAGAAAAGATGTGGTCTTGAAAATGCAGTTTAGTGTTTTTACTTGTCAGTTGTCACTCAGCAAAAAGCATCTAGGAAGCATTAAAAAGGCAGAGGAAACCAAATGGCTAGTTTGAAGAGCTTTAAGCCAGTGAATTTGGTTTTGGAACATGAATATTCATCAAATCTTATTCCCTAAAATAATCATCAAACACAACCTTTCTTTGGGAAAGCTGTCAAGTTTGACATACCATGCATTCAGAACCTGACTCAGAAATTATTAACTTTCAAATGGAAGGATCTTTTCAAGCAGCATTAAACAGGACATTTTAGCATTTCTCATTAAATTTTCTTGAGTATTTGTGAAGTTCATTGGTTTCAGAGAAATAAAAAGCATCAGTGTATAAAAAATGAAGACTCAGTACTCAGGAGCAAACCAGCTTCCCCCCCCTCCCCCCCTTCAAACTTTAGAAGTAAAAATAGGCTAAGAAATTAATTCAGATAATTTAAAGTAGCAAATTAATCTGTCTCATATTTGGGAGCAATAGATAGAAACAAATAAGTAATAGGAGACTTTCCCTGCTTTCCCTGCTCAGATGCATTATCTGCCATTTTTTTAGGCAGATTGTCTGCCAACAGACTGAAGGGCATGCAATAGCTGGGGAAATCAGGCCATTTGGGAGTGTCCTTAAATGCTTAAGTGCCACAGTTTAGGTATCTGTGGTTGAGAATTTTGATCTCTGCTAAATCCTATGTGTAGTGAAGAAAAGTTATGTTACATAATATCAA